CGGACTTGTTAGCCTGCGGTGAGAGAGAAATTTTTTGCCGGGGCCGCCGGCGCTCCTAAGAAAGGAATCACTGATTTAAATACAGACAGTTTGACGTGTCTGAGGAGCTACGTCAGAACAAATTTACTCATATTTCTATTCAGCAAAGACAAGCATTGGTGGCGCAGTGGTGAAAGTGCAATATTGCAGGCTCCTTCTGCTGACTGCCAGCTGCCTGCACTTTGGCAGTTCGAATCCCGCCAGGCTCAAGGTGGACTCAGCCTTCCTTCCTTCCGAGGTGGGTAAAATGAGGACCAAGATTGTTGGGGGGGGGGGGGAGAGGCTGACTCTGTAAACTGCTTAGAGAGGGCTGAAAAGCACTTATAAAGCGGTATATAAGTCTAAGGGCTGTTGCTATTGCTGTTGAATGTAATGTTGGTCAATAATTTGAAAGCTAGCTGACATCCCCAAACCAGGTTAAGAAATTACTGGGGGAGGAGATGAAGGTGGGACACAAGGTCAAAGCATTTGTGAAATTTGGTTTGAAGGACGTAGATACTTATACTTTCATCTAAAATCTAGTTGTTGACTAGACCACGAAGTCTCAAGCAACGTAACAGAAGACGGCAATGACCATCAACGCCTTCCGGGCTAATTCCAAGAAAAGAACTGTGATCTATCGTTCCTAGCAGGATTCAAGCTTAATTCGAAGGAAATATCCCCCTAATTCCTTCTCCTTCGAAAAAGTCCTGCACGGAACTACTTGGAAGCACCTACCTAAACCTTGGTCCCACCATAAATGAGACATGACTCCTCCCACAGTGATTAAGTCCTTCATGAGACTCCTTGGAAGCACCTACATCTGCCTTGGGAGTGTTGGGGTCTGCCGGCAACCTGCGGAGCTGGGAGCAGAGTTGGACAGTGGGGAGGACCATGGGCCAGTCCGGGAGTTTGGGGAGGGCTCGGACGAGGGATCTGCGTCCGACACAGAGACGAGACCAGGGGCACCTGAGAGTTATGTGTTGGGTCCGGAGCCTCCAGAATCTGACATCAGTGAGGCAGAGGAACAAGGGGAGCCTGTTCCCAGTGCGCGCTTGCACAGAGCTGCCAGAAGGCAAGAACAGTTAAGACAAAAGGGGCGACTCAGGAGTAAGGCTGGGAGATGATTGGCCCCTCCCATAAGACATAAAGGAGGAGCAAAGGGACAGGAGCCTTTGCAGGAAGCAACTTTGTTCCTACTGGTCGGTTTGAAACCTGAAGCTCCGTGTTGAATTTGTGCTCCGTTTGGTCTTGTACAGCTAATTGGCAACTTAGTCCTTGGCAGCATTTCAAGGGAGATAAAGGTGGGTGCTTATCAGACTTATCCCGAAGGACTTTGGCAGGCTTCCATGGGACTATTTACAAACTGTTGGAGACTCATTACAGGCTGTGAATGGCTAAAATTCCCAGCCGTTGAAATGAAGAAAAAAGGGGTTTGGAGACTAACGCGGGTTTGTTTGTGTCTCAATAAGCCTTGGTCAGAACAGGTAGCACCATCAATGGGATGCTGTTAATGACCAAGGTCCCATCATAAATGGGAAGCCCCTCCTTCAAAAATGATGAAGTTCTGCATAGAACTCCTTGGAAGCACCTACACCTGCCTTGCTCCCGCCATAAATGGGATGTTGATCATGATTAATGAGTAGGTTCTGCCTGGGACTCCTTGGAAGCCCCTACCTTTATCTTGGCCCCACCATAAACAGATGTGGCTCCTCCCATGATGATGAACATCTGTATGGAAGCACCTACCTAAGCCTTGGCTCTATGATTGATCATGGCTCAGTACCGCGTTGAAGTTCAGGGAGAGCCACAGTGGGGATCTGCACTACCCATCATTACATCGCTCTCCACCCCACCTTCTAGATCCGTGAGGGCAAACCTATGGCACGCGAGCCCCAGCCAAACTTACCTGCACTGTGCATGCGCGCACCTCCCAGCTGGTTTTCGGCCGGTTTTCGGCCTCCCAGAGGCTCGAGGGAAGCCTCTGCAGCCTCGGGAAGTCGAAAAACGGGCCTTCCAGAAATACCGGAAATACCGAAACGGGCCCGTTTTCCGGCCTCCTGAGGCTCCAGAGGCTTCCCTTGAGCCTCTGAGAGGCCAAAAACAGATGGGAAAGGTTCGCCATCACTGTTCTAGACCCACCTTCTAAGATCCCAAAGAGAAGGACCACCGACCTGTAAATTTGCGAAGCATCTCAGTGCAGATCTCTGCGACCGTTTCGTCGTCGTACTTCTCCATGATGAGGGCCTCCTCGCCGCAGATCCAGCCACTCAAGACGTGGCCGTAACGCTCCGGCGGGTAGAGGACGTCAAAGCTGCAGATCTTCTTGTACCACAGCTCTTCCGGATAGGTGAGGCTCTCGGCCTCCGCCTCATCTTCCCAAACGAACTGAATGCTGTTGCATTCGGGGCTCCAGAAGGGCGCCTCAAATTCCAGGAAGATCTTATCGGTGGTGCTAATGCCCAGCTTCTGGATGGCCAGCACCTTCTCTTCGGGCAACGGCGGGTAGAACATCTCCTCGTGGCGCTTCTTCAGGACCCCCAAGGAGACCGTCACGATGACGTGGTCAGCCAAGAGGAACTCGCAGTCGTCGCACTCCACCAGGACGCTGTACCCCGCGTTGTCCTCCAGGCGCTCTTCGTTGTGGTCAGCCACCTGCTCGATCTCCTTGCTGATGGACTGGTTCCAGTGGATACATTTGACCGGCTTGTTCAGGTGGACGACGGACTCTGGGATGGAACGGGAGAGGATCTCCACAATTTTCATGAAGCCACACGGGATGATGTGGTGGGCTCCGGGGATCTCGGTCCACTCCCCAAATTCGCTGAGAGAGACTTCGTCCATGCTGTGAGAGCTGCTCTCACAACTTTCCACCTGCTCCAGAAGAAACGGAAGAGGATATTTTCCATTAGGATATTCTTCTCCGGATTAGAGAACATGGGTGGGAGTCATTCCTTCCCTGTTTGGACCCGGCTTCCCAAACACAACAAACCCTCAGAGCTCGGGTGGGACCTCACTAGCAGCAGTGGCTCTTCCATCCTGAGGACCAGCCCATAGATTTCCACTGCTCTCCTCTCCTCTGCCTGGAACTCCCAGGTTGCCCTGATGCTGATCTTGACTCCCACGCCTCCTCCTCCTCCTCTTCTGATTTGGCTGCTGGAAGGGCTGGCGGCCGACAGGCCACAACAGAATCATAGTTTACACCTAAGTCAGGTTGCTGAGTCCTACTTTCTGCTGATCCTGTCTAATTTGCATTTTCATAGATGTCTCCATGAGATGTTATGGCCCAGATTTCTAACCTAGAAGCATGAGGAATATCTGGTGGGCCACCAAACAGCTTGTTCTTGGGCGCCATCAAGTTTTGACCTACGCTATATGATGTGTAGCTCAAAACTTGATGTAGGGCAGCTCTCACCGATGTGAGAACTTAAGTTTGGACCACAAGCTGTAGATCTCTACAGCACAACTGCTGTCAATCATAAAACATGGGGGAATTCTTGAAGCCTGGTGTTGGGATTCCAGGCAGTTACATTAAATTTACATTACAGTTTACATTAAATCATGAGTCTCGAGCCAAACTTCCAAAACTTCAAAAGGATTTATTGGCAGTAAACATGTCGACATTGCCTGGGTGTAGCCGACTCTGAGACACATCATTCACTGTTACCCTTGACCCTGGTTTTTCCCCCTGCACTCCCTGGGTGTATCATAACTCATATTCTCCAATGGGACCCATCCATAGCCCAGACTCACCAATCATGCTCTCCAGTTAGAATTTTGCGGGGCAGAAACTTCAGTCACCTAGTCACTATCTTTGAAAACATTTATGGAATGCAGTTTCCGTTTCCAAGCTGCCCCACGGCTCCCCCCTCCCTTTCTGCTGGCAACTCTAAAAAAGACCCTAGAAACATTTGGTGAGTTGACACCTGGCGCTTCAAGCCCCCACCCTCCATCGGTTCCCATCCCCTCCTTACTTTCAGGTATTGCTGGATCATGGCGAGCTTCAGCTTCTTGATCGTCTCCGAGTCGTCTTGATCGGCCTTGACGCGTTTGCGCACGACATCTCGCGTGAAGATCCCCACGCTATTCTTGCTGTCGGCATTGACTGGTTTACCATTCTGGAAGAACTCCTGAGTCAGGTTATAGACCTGTTTCCGGACAGAGAGGAAGTGCATAAAACCAAGACTCCATAACCCAAGACTCTGAGGCATTTGGAGTCCCCAAACTTGTGGACTTCAACTCCAAGAAGACTTGTGGACTTCAACTCCAAGAATTTAAGACTTTGTGGACTTCAACTCCAAGAATTCTCCAGCCAGCTATGCTTTCCCCGTCGATTTTAACAGATAATAGATAACAGATCATCAGAGTTGGAAGGGACCTTGTAGGTCATCTAGTCCAACCCCCTGCCCAAGCGGGAGACCTTACACCATTTCTGACAGATGGGAGTCCAATCTCTTTTTGAAAGCTTCTAGAGATGAAGCTCCCACAACATCTGAAGGCAACTTCTGTTCCATGGGTGGATTGTTCTCACTGTCAGAAAATTCCTCCTTATTTCCAGGTTGAATCTCTCCTTGTTCAGTTTCCATCCATTGTTCCTTGTCTGGCCTTCAGGTGTTTTAGAAAATGGCTTTGACCTCTTCCTCCCTGTGGCAGCCCCTCAAATATTGGAAGACCGCTATCATGTCTCCCCTGGTCCTTCTCTTTACTAGACTAGCCAGGCCCGGTTCCTGCAACCATTCATTGTATATTTTAGCCTCCAACCACCCCCTAATCCTCCTGGTTGCTCTTCTCTGCACTCTTTCCAGAGTCTCAACATCTTTTTTATAGTGTGGTGACCAAAACTGGATGCAGGACTCTAGGTGTGGCCTTACTAAGGCTTTATAGAGCGGTATTAGTACCTCCCTTGATCTCGATTGTATCCCTCTGTTAATACAATTTAGGATTGCGTTGGCTTTTTTGGCGGCTGCTGCACACGGCTGGCTCCTTTTTATCTGGTTGTCCACTAAGACTCCAAGATCCCTCTCCCAGTTCCTGCTCTTGAGCCTGGTTTCACCCAGTCTATATGGGTCCTTTTGGTTTTCCTTGCCTAAGTGTAGGACTTTATATTTGCTAAGTTGGATCACATGACCATAGGGAGGCTGTGACAGGTTGTGTGCAAAATGCCCCTAAGTCGCCTTTCTCAGTGTCGCTGAAACGTTGAACGGTCACTAAACAAACTGTTGTAAATTGAGGACCACCTGTCGGAGCATTTGCAGCCTGACTGCCATTATGAGACAACCCAGGAGCACAACACAGCACACAGAGTCTTAGTGGTTAATATACAACAGTTATATACAGACATATATGTGGCAGGCAAAATACCTTACAAGCAATCTTTCTTCTTCTTAACTCTACACAGAGAAGTCTGCAATGAATCCCGGACACAAGGAGGGAGAGAGCACACCCTCTAATGGCTGCCTCTTATATAAACACCTCTTAAAGGGGAAGAACCCTTCCCCAGTCTTAAAGGAGCAGTACCAATGCTATGCCGATTCATCCTCAGTTGCATCAGCCTCATCTTGCATCAGCCACTTAAATTGCAATACCTTAACGCTACTTGTCCATGGAGCCTTGACATACTCTCTCCCTGCACACATAGTAGCCGTCGTTCTGATTGTTGCACAGCCTGATATAACCTGCTCAAGCACAAGGTTGCTTAAGCCTTCCTAAGCCGCTCGCCGAAAGGAAGCAGGTCATATTTTTGCAAGGCGAGCAAAAATCAAATAAATAATCCGGGGTTTTACTTCATTGGGGTTTCTGTGCCGGGAGCAAACCCGAAAGCCCACATTTTCAAACACCAACCTGAAATTGCTGGGGCAGTGTCACGAGGCCCGAGAGGGGAGTGTGGAGCTTTCAATAAGTCCTCTAATTTATTCCCAGCTTTTTAAATGAGGCTAGGAATGCTCTAAGAGGATATCCGTGACGGCAGCTCCGGCCTTTAATAAACCAGGAATCTGAGCGTGGACAATCTCGAAGGAGTCTTGGGATCCCAGGTGAACCTCCTTAGGAGGAAAAGGCCCTGCATGTGATTTTACTCCGGGAGATAAAGGAGGCCCATTTCGTCTTCCGCTTTGCCATTGGAGATACAGGGAAGGTCACCGATCTTATTAACGGGGCAACTATGGTTTCCAACTGTTCCTTCCCCAAACCCGGAATTTAAGAGATGCTTCTACAATTCAAGCCATGGTGGACAACCACGGTTACCAGGAGCCACAGATAACCCTGGTCAGGTTCTCCATGAATTGA